AGCTTCTGCGAGCAGCCTCTCTCTGTATATGTTCTCATATTTTTGGGATTTGTATTATTACCAGTGGCTGTTTGCTGAATAGTCGAAGGGTTAAAAAAAACAATATAGCTATATAATTATCAACATTAAATGAAAAGCATTATCGTGAATGCCAAATTACCAAAACCTTCGGTTCATCCAGGCTCGGGTTCTGGTGGTTTCAGAGTGCGTAAGCTGTACTGAGTATATCTTTGACTCAACCAAATGAGGAACTGAACCAAAACCGCAGAAAAGAGCCGAGACCTCAGCCTGCTTTGTCCAAACATCAGAGATTCAGTGTGTTATTATTACAAGGCAGCAAAGCACAGAATAATCAGTTCATGTTTAGTCTTCTTCTGTGAGAGACCTGGATTTGAACATTGTCGAAATGTTTTGCAACTTTGAGAGTTTGCAGGAACTTCTCTAAGCAAAACATTTAGGATTCCTATTAGGGGTCGACCGATTATCGGCGCCGATATTAAGCAATTTTATGATTATCGGTATCGGTCATTTTCAAACCTGATTCGCCGATAAAATAACTTAATTTTGAAACGCGCTATTTGGCTCTGATGCAGCCTGTCAGAACTCACCACTCTGTGGCCTAAAGCAGTCTCCGCCCACCGCTCATCTGATTTGTTGGGAGTCATGAGTCCGACCAATCAATGCGGAATTCACTCTCACTCCAAAAGCGCTTGCTAACTGGAGCTGCTTCAGGGGTCACGCATCAGTTGTCTCTCAAAGGTAAGACAGCAGCAGACGTTGCTTAAGTACTTTTGAGTCTTGAGAACTCTCATTTTATGTGCGCCCACAGATCGCGATAAGGATAGTGACAGATTTGAATAATTATTCAAGGAGTTTGCAAATGTGATATATTGATTTAATACAACAGTTCAATAAACACGTAGGCCTACTGCCTGATTTTGCGCTATTTCATCAGCGAAAATAGTTCCAAATAAAGTAACAGCTCAGCCGTGAATGTCTGAAAATGTACCTACAAGCCACTTGTGTGTTCTTTTTTGTGCCACCTCTGTAGTACAAATTAATTTTTCATTAATACTAATTTCATGATTGGTAACTTATTTGTCTTATTCTACTTCTTATTATATTGTTTTAAATAGAAATTATAGAAAGTTTATAAACAAATTTTTGAATTTTACAGATGAAAATTATGCCATTGCAAAGGTAAAAAGAAAATGCCCCTGTAAATCACTTCACCTCATATTAGGAAGGCTAATTTTTTATCAGAATTTTTGATTATTGATCAGAAGGTGCTCCTTAATTTTTTTTAATTAGGAGGACAAGCGCTCTTGATTACAAGAAGAAAAACACTGCTCTTAAACTGGGTGTGTGACAGGTATGGCTGAGGAATGGGGTTTGGCCGAGGAAACCTTTTCAGTCAAAAGATTTTATTTTTTGCTTTAACCCCTGACTACTACAACAATTATGACAACTTTTGTTTAAAAGAATAATCACACAATACGCTATTTCTTCCATGTTTTAATTTTAATGGTAAACCCATTAAATAAAGAGTTTGCCCAAAAATAAAGAGTTTAACTCTTTAAAATAAAGAGTTTACTGTGGGAGTACTACACTCAACCAACACCAGGGAAGGCAGTTTTTGTCAGAGCCCTTGTTATTCTTAATTTTGACATTAATTTAAATTTTTACACCAGACATATATATCGGTTCAAAATATCGGTTATCGGTCTACTTGATCTGTAATAATCGGTATCGGCATCGGCCTTGAAAAACACATATCGGTCGACCCCTAATTCCTATCATATGAAGGCCAAGGCTTGTTCTTTTTGTGACAATGATCATCAGTTCCGATAACAATCATGACAACAAATGCTTGTGTGTTGCCATGGTCCTCCCATAAGTGCTGTGGTCTAGACTACTACGCTTGTAAAAGAAATTCCCATATAAAAGTCCCTGCGCTTTACAGTGAAGTTGATTTACATTTTTATATAGTGTGTGGAATGCTCATGTTAACATCCAAAGTAAGTAGGAAGAAGGAATTTACGGCTAAAGCCTGTGCTGTGTCATTCTGAGGTAAAACACTGAGCCATTTATACAGTCAGATAATATGGAAACTAATCTTGCTTATTTTCATGCTCATTAAAGTGCTATTTGACTAGTAAAATGAGTAAACTAGTAAAACCTGGTAAAAAAATCTATAATTAATGAATGAATAAATCTGAATATTTGCATTAAAGGGAAACATTTCTTAAAACCAAAAATTGTTGTGGCCTAGTAGTTGGTGCACATGATTTGATGTGAGCAACATCTTTCATTTTTGCTTCTCTTCCTGCTCTACCTTTTCTGTCCTTTCTCAACCATGGTCATAAAAAGAATGTCAAAAATGGTAAAAAAAACAAATAAAAAATAAATAAATAATATATATATATATAATAAAAAAATCTCAACAATAATAAAACATTAAAATAGAAAATAATACATGTAAAAAGAATGTGTCAAAAATGATCAAAAATAAAATAAGAGCAACCAATAAAAAAAATAAATAAATAAATGAAAAAAATTAAATAAAATTAAATAAATAAAATATAAAATACAGAGATTAAAATAAGAACAATAAAAATAAAATAAAAATACATAATTATTTATAATCATTTGACCAAAAGTGGGCATACTAATGCAGGCAATGAGTAATCTAGCCTAGCATGCAAAATTTCTGAGTCCGGCCTCTCCTTATATTTTCCTCTCTTTTCTCTGCTATGTTTATTTATTTTAATTAATTAAATAATTGACTGACTCAAGTTTTTATATTACTATCTCTAAAAATTATAAAATAAACCACCTAATAAAGTTACACATTAAACATATAAATACAAATACATATCTAATGAATTTAGGAAAAGGTGCAAAGAAGAATTTTCCTGGTTTTAAATCTTTTATAAATTTAAGGTTAAAAAGTCCGGGTACTGAAATTATGGCAAAATTAAATTTAAAACTATGAAAAAAGCAAAAAATAATAAACTTAAACTGAAAAAGCAAATAAAGCTAAATAAATAAATAAAGCTAATATAATTTATCTTTGAAATGTATCCTTTAAAACTAGAAAGATTGCATTTTTTAATCATCTTATGGGACAGAAAAGTTCCCCTAACTGAAGAATCATCCATATATTGTATAATTCTTAATATTTCTTTTAAAATAGCATGTGGAATGGAATGCATTCTGCAACAATAAGCAGTTCAAACTATATCATGCCACATTATCAGCACATGAACTCATCATGAGGCTATCACATGACATCTGTTTACTTCAGCTAGCAATGTCTGGTGGTTATCCTCTCAGAAATAAACATATTTTGCATTTTGGATCCAGTTTCATGTAAAAACTGATTAAGTTGGGTACATCACAATATGAGACTCAATATTCAATGCACATTATACTGCATACTGCATATTTTGGCAGATGAAGTAGATTATCCAAGTACTCCATGCATACAGAAAATGCGCAATTCACTGGAATTGTACTAATCTTGCATATTATTTAGGCCAGACAGCGTGAGTAGAATTGGAACGCAGCCCATCCTCCACTTTATCTCTCTATGTCACTCGCCCTCGCTCTGTTTCTCACTCATTCTCTATTAGACTCTGACCAGCTGAATAAATCCTTCACACTCCTAAAAATGCCAGAAATGCACTGAAGTCTGTAGAATACTGTCGATCTGAGCAAATAAAACATTGTCACACACATTCCTGGCCTAACACACACCTCACTGACACACACACTGGGCTCTTTCTTACATAAACAAACACACACACACAAAGCAGCCCTTCACAATCTGAAGTTTCAGTGCAGGTTGAGGAAAACCAATCCAAATAGCACATCACAGCTGAAGCTAAGAGCTGTGACGTATAGTTTAACAGAGACTGAGAAGGTGGAAAGTGAACGGCGAGGTCATTTCCTGTATCTCTGAAGTATTGCACGACTCGCGGTGAGCCAATCATAGGAAGAGATGAAGCAATGTTCTCGGCCACATGCCAGTTAAGAGCAGCAGCCCAGTTTGAGAGAGGGTGAGAGAAAACACCTTTACAAATAAAATCACCATAACTTATATGACATAGTTACTTCAGTTATTGTTATTAAAACTGTGCTAGCTTGGTATTAGCCACCAGTTACATTTAAAAAAGAAAAGAAATTGACAGCAATGACAAAGTTTCTTACACAATGAGGCATATCTAGAGACCAGAATATCACTGAGACTTGAAAATGGCCTCTTTTGAATTGGGACAGTAAGAAACTACCATAAAAAGTAACCAAAATACCCTAGTAACCATCCACTACAAACTTCTAAAAACCAGTCTGAACTTCTTGGCAACAAGGTCTGCATGTGCGAGCAACACTAACCATATACAGAAAAAGTAAAAAAAAAAGATTTTTCATAAAAAATTAATATAAATAAATAAATACATGGTAAAACCAATAATAAATAAAATAGAATCATATTTATTTTATATATTTTTTATCTATCTATTTAGAATATATTACAGAATTACAAATATTTATAATTAAGAAAATATATATATTAAATATTTAATATATTTATAATAAAATATATTAAAATAAATAAATAATAAAATCAAATATATAATTAGAATTGAGTCCGGCCTCTCCTTATATTTTCCTCTCTTTTCTCTGCTATGTTTATGAAAAATTGATAGGTCAAAAAAAAATGTGTGTGTATATATATATATATATATATATATATATTGTATTGTATTGTATTGTATTGTATATATATATATATAATACAAATATAATAAATAAAATACAAAAAAAAACTAATAATAATAATAAATAGAATCATGTGACCAAAAGTGGACATACTCAGTTAAGAAAGATCAGACAGACAGATTTCCGCCAGAAATTGAAACTACATTTTGTTGGCATACATCTAGATACCTGAAATACCTGCAAACGGCTGAGGTGTCAAAGTTTGAGGTGTTTCTTACCTTCAGTGAGTCAAAGCACGCGATGACTCTCCCGTTCTCCACCTGGCAGCTCTTGGCGGGATGTGCAAACTTGCACTCAGCATCAGAGCGAGTGCACGTTCCACGCTGAAACTCCCGACACACCTCCAGCGTCAGCCATTTCGTGTCCCGCATGTAAGCCATGTTCATCGCCATCTCAACACGCTTTAGCGGCAAGCAAACTTCAATTCCTTAATATCCCAAAGTGCTTTGGGTGTGCTTGTGTTTGTCCTTTTAAGAATGTTCCTCTCCTTCTTAGATCATTAAGCTCCTCTTTCCTTGTGGATGCACACCAGGCCAAAGCAAAAAGGACAAAACAATGTTGCTGCTAGGAAAAAGAGAACTGCAGTAATGGATCCCAAAGCAAAAATCCTTGAATCTGATTGGCTGATTCAATAGTGCCCACTTCAGCTCTGTGTGTTTGTGTAGGGGTCGTTCGGGGTCACAGGGATTGTGGGGTTGGGCGGACAGTCCTTTCACTGATGTGGGCAGCAAGCAGGCAGGAAAGCTGAGGCTGGTACTATAAGCAGGTCCAAGCAGCGGCAGACGCAAGAGAGAGCACGATACTCAGTACCCACCTGCAACACACATAACCACAGAACAGCTTAGAAAGACCTTCCTAAAGGACTCTTCAGCAAACGAGTCTGTGATTAGATCCTTTCACAGCACCTTTAACTCTTCACAAAAACTGAACAGAACTGAATTAGAGGTGTTTTTGACTACCTGAAATAAAAAAGAAAATAACTCTTTTGGACAAGAGTTGGACTTGCAAACACAAACATTTACCTTGCAGACAGTTTGTATAGAGAGAGAGAGAGAGTATATTAAAATAAATAAATAATAAAATCAAATATATAATTAGAATTAAATAGTTTCTAATAACTATTCACTATTTAATTCAATAATTTATTCTAATAATTTAAATAGTTTAAAATAAATAAATAATATATACATGTTAAAACAAATCATAAATTCAATGAAATATAAATATTTATTATTCTATTTATTAGATTATTTTAAAACGTATTTATTTATAATAAAAATAAATAAATAACTATAATTAAATATATAATTATAACTCAATAGTTTACAATAAATGTTTAAAACAAACAAACAAACAAACTTGGTTATTAAGCAGAAATATGGTTATCGTGAAGTTATGGGACAGAAAACTATCTGAAGTTATCGGGAAGTACACTATAAAAGAAAAACACACGCATGTGTACACACAAAGAGCTTTAAAAGTAGGGCTGAACGATTAATTGTATTTGCGATAATATCGCGATATGAAAAAATATGTTTTTTTCAACCGCAGAGGTTGCGATTACACCGTCACGTGACATACGAGAGTAAAAAGGTGTGTTCGACTTGAAGATCGATCGGTGTATATGACATCAAAGTACGGTGAGAGAAAGCCTACGTGTCTACACTGGATGCGGTGCGGTGCGACAAATTCCTGACAGTAAACTGCTGCTGCGTTCTATTTATGCCGCACTGACACAAATTTCAAATGATTTTCAATGGTCACTTTGTCGTGTCCAGTGTAGACAGACTTTAGATGTTGCAGCGCGGCGCAACACGACAACTGTCGCATCTGGTGTAGACACGGTGTAAGGAGACGTCTGCTCTCTTATAGCTCTCGCGGTACTTTGATGTAGGGGTCGACCGATTATCGGCGCTGATATTAAGCATTTTTATGATTATCGGTATCGGTCATTTTCAAAACCGATTTGCTGATAAAATCATTTAATTTTGAAACACGCTATTTGGCTCTGATGCAGCCTGTCGGAACTCACCACTCTGTGGCCTAGCACAATCTCCGCCCACTGCTCATCTGATTTGTTGGGAGTCACGAGTCCGACCAATCAACGTGGAAGGCTAAAGGCACTGAAAGTTTTGCACTCTCACACCAAAAGCGCTTGCAAACTGGAGCTGCTTCAGTGATCACACATCAGTTGTCTCTCTAAGGCAGCAGCAGACGTTGCTGAAGTTGCAATAAATCACAATCCACTACACTGAAGTTGCAAAACACCTCAATATTATCTATTTATGGTTTCCGCGATGGGGAAAACGCGGACGGAATCGCGGAATGGAATTTACCTTTATAACGCGGAATGTCACGGAATTTGGATGAATTAATCAAAAGTAGGTCAGTACACTTAAATCGACTCGCGCTATGGACTAGTATCTGTAAATATTAAGCCACAAAAAGACTATTTAAATATGAATCCTGCATGTTCTGCATGTCTCTGTATATGTGAATGGCACAGTACTACTACAACAATTATTACAACTTTTGTTTAAAAGAATAATCACACAATACGCTATTTCTTCTATGCATTAATTTTAATAGTAAACCCCTTTGTTTGCCAAAAAATAGAGTTTAACTCTCATTTGATTAAAAGACAAATACAATTAATGTTTTATGCCCTCATTTGCACTGCACTGTAAATTAAAACTAATGGAAATTACTGTCACATAGGCCAAGATTAAGATACTGTCACGTACACTAAGATTGGGATGACAAAAATTGAGACATTTCAAAATGCTTTTGAACCAAGTTTGCCTAAAATAGGCTATTAGTGTTATAGTTTCATTAAAATAGTTGCGGTCTTCAATGTTTTAGCCATCAGAAAAGAATTAATGAGGAATTATGAGAGGTTATGCTATTACACATACATTTCTAACATGTAAATTATTGAAGCCAAATACTTACATTTCCCCAAGCCGTTTAGCTGTAGTACAGTATTCATAGGCTTAATCATGAAGCATACAGTGGCCCCACTTTTAACTCTCTCTTTATATTATTCTTATTGTAGATGGATTCATGGAAGAAGACAAGAGTAAGAAGTGCAACCAACACCAGGGAAGGCAGTTTTTGTCAGAGCCCTTGTTATTCTTAATTTTGACATTCATTTTCATTTATACACCAGACATATATATCAGTTCAAAATACCGGTTAATGGTCTACTCGGTCTGTAATAATCGGTATCGGCATCGGCCCTGAAAAACACATATCGGTCGATGCATGCATCACCTAATTTCATCGTAACATATAGGCCTGGCCTACAGAAAAGAACATTTACGTTTAATCTATCCAACACTGTGTTGGTCATACTATACAATGATTTATTGCTTGTCTTTGTTGAATAATATAGAACATAAAGAGGTTTAAAAAATATACTACTACAACAATTATTACAACTTTTGTTTAAAAGAATAATCACACAATACGCTATTTCTTCTATGCATTAATTTTAATAGTAAACCCCTTTGTTTGCCAAAAAATAGAGTTTAACTCTCATTTGATTAAAAGACAAATACAATTAATGTTTTATGCCCTCATTTGCACTGCACTGTAAATTAAAACTAATGGAAATTACTGTCACATAGGCCAAGATTAAGATACTGTCACGTACACTAAGATTGGGATGACAAAAATTGAGACATTTCAAAATGCTTTTGAACCAAGTTTGCCTAAAATAGGCTATTAGTGTTATAGTTTCATTAAAATAGTTGCGGTCTTCTAAACAACTTCTACAATGGAGCTATGAAGACAATTAAATTATTTACACTTATTATATACATTGTGCTTTTTTAAGTTAATCAATTGATGTGCATTAGATGATGAATTGAATAGTCACCTCTTGTAGGTTAAGATTTAGTCATCAGAAAATAATTAATGAAGAATTATGAGAGGTTATGCTATTACACATACATTTCTAACATGTAAATTACTGAAGCCAAATACTTACACGTCCCCAAGCTGTTTAGCTGTAGTACAGTATTCATAGGCTTAATCATGAAGCATACAGTGGCCCCACTTTTAACTCTCTCTTTATATTATTCTTATTGTAGATGGATTCATGGAAGAAGACAAGAGTAAGAAGTGCAACCAACACCAGGGAAGGCAGTTTTTGTCAGAGCCCTTGTTATTCTTAATTTTGACATTCATTTTCATTTATACACCAGACATATATATCAGTTCAAAATACCGGTTAATGGTCTACTCGGTCTGTAATAATCGGTATCGGCATCGGCCCTGAAAAACACATATCGGTCGATGCATGCATCACCTAATTTCATCGTAACATATAGGCCTGGCCTACAGAAAAGAACATTTACGTTTAATCTATCCAACACTGTGTTGGTCATACTATACAATGATTTATTGCTTGTCTTTGTTGAATAATATAGAACATAAAGAGGTTTAAAAAATAATTGCATATTAAATCGCAATCACAATATTGGTAAAAAAAATCGCAATTAAATTATTTTCCAAAATCGTTCAGCCCTATTTAAAAGACACAGATGTCCACAAAACACACATATACACACACACAAAGCACAGCCCTGTTTATGGAATGACATATTTTAATCCGATAAGACTGGATTCCTGGGAACGCTGAATACTCCAAAAAGGCTAAATGATTTTGTGAAATGAAAAGAAAGTGATCGCTCTGGATAATGTGAATCCATGAGCCTTGCAGCATGATTCTGATCTCGCATTAAACAGGCTCATGCCTGCATTATCCGTGTTTACTGAGAAGAGGAATAATCACCGTGACAATTAAAGTAAATTCATGCTCAGACTTGGATTCTACTTTAAGATCCTCGTCTTCACTTGAACATAACAATGCTGTTTCTTTGGTCCCGTTTTTTTAGTTAAATGATTTGGCTATTATGTCACGTATATCTCCCACAATCCTTTGCAGTGGAATAACAATTCTTAGAAGTTGCTGCAAGGTCAAACAAGGAGAGAAAATAAGACCGATAGCGAGGGAGAGAGAGAATGATCTGGAAGTGTGCCAATCAAAGCCCATTAAAAAGTCAAACATTTTTGCCACTGGGAGGAGAACTGGATGTTATGTTCTCTTTTCAGAAATGGAAACTATTTCAATGATTCACATGAATGAGATATTAAGTGTTTCAATGTTTTTGCACTTTGGCTTATGGCTTTATTTACGTCTGTACTGATCTCTAATATGCTCCTGCCAGTGAGAAATGCTTGATTGAACATTTGATTTCCTGTGGCTCTGTTTGTAATTCGACAGCCGTGCAATATTAAAGACCAGCTTTTTAAATGGAGGAATTATAATGAAAGGTTAAAATCAGTCTGAGTTTAGTCTGTGTCTAGGAAACAGAAAACAAACTCTCCCTGCATAGAGCTTTGACACTTCAAATATGCAGAGTATTAATATTTTAAAAAAGCAGTGTTTGATGGAGATTTTAAATCAGATCTGTAAACAAACTAGCTACATCCTAAGCATAATGGGAAATTGTTACCATTTAAGGCTGCAAAAGTGTGTCATTAACAACACTTTTATAAATAGAAGGATACAGAACTGCAAAACTAACCAAGAAGTATATTTACAGTATGATGTCATAGAACTTTTATAAGTTCCAAAAATAACTTTATGCAGTTTGTTATACATCATATATAGGCTAAAGCTTTTGTATGATGCACATCGCCATTATTTTTATGATCAAACCATAGCACTAAACTTTCATGAACAAATCTGTCAATTTATTTCAGAAAAATCCTCAAAACCATAACCTTATAAGTACATTTTGAAGAATGTGGGTAACCAAGTAGTTGATGGTAGCCATTGACTTCCATAGTATTTTTTTTTCCATATTATGGAAGTCAATGGCTACCGTCAACTTTTTGGTTACCCACATTCTTCAAAATATCTTTTTTGTGCTCAGCAGAAGAAAGAAACTCAGGTTTGGAACGACATGAGTGAGAGTAAATGATAACAGGATTTTCATTTTTGGGTGAACTATCCCTTTAAGGCGTATCTTGAAAATTTAACTTATCAGACAGTCGGTAGCAAAGAATGGATTTTATGATGTCAATATGCAATTCAAAATGCTTCTGATCTGGAATCAGGCACCATGTGGATGCTCTAAAATGCCGATTACAATTTTCTCCAAGTTCAGCTGAACCAAATCAGCGTTTTTTTTTTCAGCATTAATGCATAAAGGGACTCGCTTGAATCTGGGTGGAGTGCTTGATCAGAAAGGTGTGCGGGCAGCGGAGATGGTTATAAACCACAGCCTTCCATCGTTTGACTCAGATGTGTGTAGGTGATGATTGCCATGTTGGAAAGGGTTGAAAATAGTATCATCGCCATGGTTACACAGAACAAAGCTTCAAGCAAAAGCCCTTCTACCCAGTAACTCAGAAACATTCACAGCTCTAAACGTTCTACAAAGCTGCGTGAATTGGAGAGGTCAAATGTTAATGATTTTTTAACATACCATTTATTACCTATTCAAATGATAATAGTTAGCAATTCAGTTTGATAAGAGTTAGGAATTTATCAAAACAATAAGTTCTTTTTTTGTAACGACGCCCTCTAGTTGTTGAACGCACAAACAAATCTTGACACGTCCAACACGCGGCCGCCATCAGACATATTTTTATTAGTGGCATTAAAGACAACAGGCACATTTGCATGCAAAAACACCCCAAATAAAATGTGAAGACGACAAAAAGGCAAGAAAAATCGAGGATAAGACGTGTTCGCGAGGAGATGATGAACAACCAGATGTTCTATTACGATACCTAACGCAGGTGCAACACATTTATCATCTCAACAGTTGTTTAACAGCTAGCATATGGGATTAAACCAACAATTAATTTACAAGAATCTTTTTACATCAACTTTACAATCCATGATAATTCACAGTTTACATCGCTAATGGAAAATTCAGCGATTTAGAGCTAGTCTAAACAGAATCGGATGCAAAATATAGTGAAGCGTGCTTGCATGTGCTTATTTTCGCAACACTTTCACTTTCTCAACTACAGCACACCATTGTCAAAACCCAAAGACTTGGCGCCAGACCACCCTGACAGAACGTTTATTTATTTTTCTTCCCCCCCACCCCTACAAAAAATGGTATCTTCAAACAACTGAAACAATTGCTTTAATCATACACCACCGATCAGCATTGACTTCTCAGCGACGGCATTCGTTTCTAAATACTCTGCAGCACGGTGAAACAATAACCCGCGCAAGTGCACTAAAAGTCAGCATAACCTGTTCTTAAGCAATCCTTCCTTACATGTTTCCATTTCAGTGCAGCCGACGAGCAGACCTGTGAGAGCTCCAATCCATATGTTTCTCTCTGCAGTGAGAGCGTGTTCAGCGTTTACTTACATGACTGCACGGAAGAGTGACGCACTCAGACAGAAGTGAAAACCTGCGTCAACATCTCTCTCCCTTCTCTTTTCCCTCTTGCAGACAGTTACGCTCTCGCACACACGCCCCTGTGCAGTCCCAGGATGCCTGACTGGGTCCTACCGCTCTGAAATCTAGCACGAGCCATATTAGGAAACGGCAGTTAAACATGTCACACGTAATTTACATGCAGGGGGAGTGGAAAGCGCGGCTCTGTCATAAGAGAGAAAAAAAAGAGAGAAGAAAAAAAATCCCTGCACACGCTGGTATGCACATAAAACAAACAGAAGGGAAGTGAGACCCGAGAGGGGAGTTTCAAAAAGGAGAAGTGCTCTCAGGTTCAACAGTTAACCAATCGCACTGTCTAAACAAGTAGCCGGTCGCACAGGGGTGGGGGGAGTTTCCTGCCAAACGCACACACAGCCGCGCAACTTTTTCGAACGCAGCTGAGATTCCCCCCGTCGTGCCGTACTGTTTGCGATCGCCTAGACATAACAAACTGCAGTTCACCACAAAGGCACCCTATAAAGTCAAAAACAGCCCACACACACCGAACAACCCCCAATCCCACACATACGAAGCATGCAAAAGTGGTGCAATGCTGTTAGAACTGCAAAAGACAGACTGACAGGAGAGACAGTACAGAAAAGCAGTTCTTACCTCTCACATCATGATTAGTATTGAGCGCGCGTATGTGTGTGAGAGATCAGACACGGGCGGCAGGCCGCGACAGCAGAGCCTCAGGCACCGGGTGGACCATTCTCAGAGAGGAGGAGAAAGAGAGAGAGACAGAGCGCTTAGGCTGCGCGTGTGGCTGCTGGTAGCGCCACTGTGTGTGTGTGTGTGTGAGCCGAGAGCCTGCGAGAAACAGCAGCACTGCGTTGAGCGCCGAACTCGAGCGCCAATCACGCTGGCTGGAACCGCCCACTGACACAACCAGGAAGTGCTGCCGCCACTGCTGCTGCTGCTCTGTGAGTATCTCAGTGAAAAGAGAAGAACATGAGAAGGGGAGGGGACAAAAGGAAGGAAAGAAAACGAGTGTGCTTGTGAGATTACATCGTGCTTTCCCAGGAGTCTGTCTGAGTTGGGCACCAGACTGCAGTGGGACACACGCGCACACACACAGCTGCACACCTGGTGCATTGTGCGGCAACCTTATCTGCTGCTGGGAAAGGCAGGATTTGGTCTTAATTCGACTTTGAATCATCAATATCTGGGGTATGGCCATTTCGGGAGGGAAATATATCATCGAATGAAGCCTTTTCCCAATAATCCACTTTGAAAAGTGTGATACATTTACACCATGAGCTATTTATTAAATGACATGAAGGAGAACTGGGTTGTGTTCATTTATCTCACCGATGTTAATACTAACAAACTCCCACATGGCCGGGAATTTAGAGTCACTTTAAACTTCACAATACTTTCCTGGACGGCAATAAAGCCTTGAAACTGGGACATTAATTCATTATCTTCTAAAAAAATGCTTTATTGCATTATTTGCATACTTGAGCCTCGCCCAGCAATGACTGCGGTTATGACTCTATCCGACTGCTGGAAAAATGACACGCAACTCAGGATGGAATAATCATAATAATAAAAGACATTTAGAGCTTTTTCTGCAAAAGTCAATAGAAAAAGGAACTCATAACTCTGCTGTTGTTCACACACCCTTCGACACAAGGAATTTTGTTTTGGAGAGAATTGTTTAGAGATTCACTCAAGCTGAAGTGTGTGTGGGGTCAGAAGAGCTGTCATAGTGATGGGCACTTTTAAGTCTACAGCTTGAGGGCCTAAAATGTCAACAGCATGTGCATAAGAGGAAACTGCTAATAAGAGTTACAAACCAGTGTTATTTTAGTATTATTTATATAGTATTTATTAATATTTTCAATAAGCTTTTGTTTTTATATTTTGGGTTTTCATTTTAATTTTAGTTTAGGTTTTAGTAATGTTATGTGCTTTCGTTTTTGTTCTATTTAGTTAATTTAATTAATTTAATTTTAATTAATTAATTTAATTGAACTAATAATTAATTCATTAAAATAATTTAAATTTTTTTTCCCAATTTTAGTCATTTTAGTACCTCAACCTAAACTTATTTCAGTTAGTGGCCAATACAACATTTTTTTTTTTTTTTTTAGGTTTTCTAATATTTTTCTAATGTTTTGTCTTATATTTATATTTTATTTCAGCTTTATTTCTGGCTAAAAACCATCCATTTTAAAAAGGAAGAGATCGTTTGGAATGACCAAGCACAAATTATTTTATTTTTAAAAGGATAGTTCACCCAAAAATGAAAATTCTGTCATTAATTACTCATCCTCATGTCGTTCCAAACCCGTAAGACCTCCGTTGATCTTCCGAACACAAATTAAGATATTTTTGATGCATTCTGAGAGCTCTCTGACCCTCCCATAGACAGCAATGTAATTACCACGATCAAGGTCCAGAAATGTAGTAAGGACATCATTAAAATAATCCATGTGACATCAGGGGTTCAACCGTAATTTTACGAAGCTACGAGAATACTTTTTGTGCGTGAAGAAAATAAAAACAATGACTTTATTCAACAATTCGTCTCCTCCGCGTCACCCTGGTGCCATTTTGGAGAGTATCCAGTATCCGATGTCACATGGATTATTTTACCGATGTCCTTGCTACGCTTCTGGACGTTGATCGTGTTAATTACATTGCTGTCTATGGGAGGGTCAGAGAGCTCTCAGAATTCATCACAAATATCTTGATTTGTGTTCCGAAGATGAATGGAGGTCTTACGGGTTTGGAACGACATGAGGGTGAGTAATTAATGACAGAATTTTCATTTTTGGGTGAACTATCCCTTTAAGCACATTTATTTCAGAATGCAAAACTTATAACTTTCTGGGTCAATTTATCTGAAAAAAGTTGATAATAGTTTATCTGTAATGGCTGATATACTGGTGTGGCGAAAAGAAATAAAAAACGAACTTTTTTTAATTGCAGAGAAACACAATACAACCAAAACATTAGCCAAAAAAATGTAAAAATGTTTGTAGAGGTAAATCAAATGCATGTCATTCCAAATTATATAATTTAAGTAATTAAAACAGAATACAGAATATACTAAAATACACTAGAATACACAATATAACTAAAACATCTGTTATTTATGCCATTAATAATAACACCTATTATAAATTATGACTTTTAGCATCTTTGTTTCAGCTTTGTGCTTGTATCTTTTGGGTAAATAATAAAACATAACCTTACTTGAATATAAATGGAAATATCTATGGACATCATAAAATGAATTCTTGTTAAAAGTACAACTGTAAAGTTGATTTCCCCATGTCTAGACATCAGGGTGGTTCATGTGGCCATTTAAACACCTAATAAATGCAATTTTAGTCTTACACACTAGTGTACTACTTTCCTTTTAATTTAAAACATTCATGTGAACTACAGTAGGCTCGATATCAAAATGTTTAGCCTGATTAGGTACTCTTTGGCTGGGATCAGTGATAAATTTATGATAATTTATGCAGTTGACACCAAGACCAAGGCTACAGTCCAACTCTGGTTTATATTAACAACCACACAAACACACTCATACACTCTCATTTCACTCTGACTACCTCTTTCCCCATTACCTTCAACTGACCGATTCATTCAGATATTACACATAAGGGAAAATATGTCTTATTCAATAATTCCTGTCTTTTTCCTTTCCGCTCATACTTTCGTGTCCTCATACTTCTAAAAGCTTGTTCTGGTATTAAGAGTGATGAAAGTGGCAGAAATAGTCACACGAGAAGAGAAGACGGTCATACTTTCCACTGAAACAACTCTCACTCGCTCTCTAGTTGTATGATAAATGGAAATCTATTAGCAGACTGGCCAAACACTCAAGCTTTGCATCCCTTTAATTTTGCATGTGCATCTCTCTAAATGACTGGAACAAAACGAGCTAAATGTTAAAACTTATTAACGTTTTTTCCAATAACATAACCATAAACAGTCTAGCATTCAATTCTGTAAAGCTGGGAAGTCTGATTCATTTCAGTGAATTAGTCTATTCATAGTGAATCATAGTAAATAATGATTTAGTGACCAAGTAAATAATATGCGGATTCATTTTAACCTCTGAATATTTTTTATTTGAAGCAAAATTTTTAGCCGAACGCTCCTTTTCATCGCTATGCTTTCAACTTTGGTTATTTAAATTACTGTATTTTTCAAATTTTATCAGTTGCATTTATTGTATTATAATTGAGTTAGGTTAAATTAGGTTATATAATTAAGTTCAATTCCTGTCACCAAAAGTTATATGTAAGTAAATGCTGTAATTGCAAAGTTAATCTGATAGATCTGTCTATAATATTTTTTTAATGTTTGAAAGAAGTTTCTTATGTTACCATGACTGCATTTATTCTTTGATAATGGATTCTTTGATGACTGGAAAGTTCAAAAGAACAACATTTATATCAAATATTTTGTAACATTAGAAATGTCTTTACTGTCACTTTTGATCAATTTAATGCACCCTTGCTGAATAAAAATCTTAATTTCTTTAAAAATAATTTAAAAAAATCTTTTGAACTGTAGTGAATATTTATACTGATATTAAATTAATACAATATAGTTTTTATAGCTAGCTACTCTTTCAAAAGGGCAGCTTGACTTCACTAAGATATATTATAATTAGCTTGTCGTCTGTTAGTTTCAACAGTTTGACAGTTTCGAAGTACCTTCTGGTGTGCACAAACACACATGTGCATGCCTGCACAACATAACACGTACAGTATGTATTCTATCAATGCATTATAATGGATAGAGAAGTGAGTTAAAGCACAAGCCGACTGGGGTGACTTGATTTATGTCGGTCAGAACTCTTCAGAGTTTTCTTGACCTCTCTGCGCCAAACACACTGACTCACCAAACAGACATCTAGACGCACACATGATCATCAAACACAGTCATTCAGATAGAATTTTCTTGCTACAACCACGACGTGCCTCTCTTTCTCAAACCCTCATACCATCTCTCACAGGTCTCTCTTTAATGCTTCACCATTTACAGCTTAAACGTGTCTGAGTGAACAAGTTGAAAAGAAAGGAGTGAAAGTGATTGGGTGTGGTGTTTACACAGTTAGTCAAAGTCCCTGGGCTCGG